CGCTTCTGGGGGTGGGCATTCGCCTCAGCCAGGTCCACGCTCCACAGCCCCGAGTCGCCTCTGGCCCTGTCATTTCCGGGGGGGGGGCAGAGATGGAGAGGTTTGAGTAAGGGTCCCCAGGGGCCCCGGCCGAGTCGGACTTGGGGTCAGGTGTGGGGTGGTCGTGGGCGATGGGTTTCCGCCTTGTCTCTGAGCCTTCCTTACTTCATCTGTGGAATTGGGCCTTCCCCCCCCCCCCCATTTTGCTTTGAGAATAAACGTCTGGCTCTGAGTCAAGCGCTGAGTGCAGTTGCTAGTGGAGTTAGCAGCCAGGATGGTGGCTGTGCCTCACCTCGCCTGGAGACCTGCCAGGCCCGGCTGTGCTGTGGGCCCACGTGCTGTGCTGTGGGCCCACGTGCTGTGCTGTGGGGCACAGCCAGGCCCCCGGCCAAGCAGGCCAGGGAAGTGATCAGCATCTGGGGACTGCTTGGCTGGTGGTACTGGTGGCTGGTTGAGGAAACCCAGCGACAAAAATCTGGGGTAACAAGTGGAGGAGCCCGAGGGGCAGCAGGAGGAGCTGGTTTGGGAGTGGAGCAGGTTCTGACTTCCCGTGGGGCCTATTTAGTGCACGGATCTTTGTTTTCCTTTGCCTTTGTGGGCAGAGGGAGAAACTGGTAAGGGTTTGAATACTGGAGTGTGGGTACCGGATGTCTTGCAGGGCCTGGCAGGAGAACAGCTCTCTGAAGGAGCTCCAGAGCAGGGGCGTGTGTCTGCTAAAGCTGCAGGTGGCCAGCCAGCGCACGGGGCTGTACGGACAGCTTCTGGTCACCTTCGAGCCGGAGCGAGGCGGGTCTGCCGCAGGCCTTCCCAGCAACAGCTTCTCTTCCGGTATGTGCAGACCAGAAACAGTATGGCATTCAGACCACTGCACGGGTTCTCCCAAAGACTGGACAGCGGCTGGGCTGGGAAGGTAGTTTAGTGGTAGAGTGTTTGCCTAGCATGCTTGAGATCATGGGTTCAATTCCTTGGTACCACATACACAAAAATAAAATTAAGTAAATAAAAACTAAGAAAAACAAAAATTGACTGGATGGAGGGCCCAGCCAGAGTGCAAAGCATTCTTCTCTTACCCAGGAGTCCCACAATTTATCTAGCCCTAGTGGTTTGAGAACATGACCTGCATCCAGCTGTTGCTGCAAATGTAACATATACACCAGGTCTCCAGATTCACATATCGTGCGTGGGAGCAACCACATTGACAGCAAGCCCAAGTGATGTTGTGCATACATTAGGTTACGTGCAGTGATTATTAAAAGCAAATTGAGTGGAAGGTTCATATGCCTTGTCCTCCAACATGCACAGCTCCCGCATCAGTGTCCCTACCCCAAGTAGTGCCTTCCTTACAGCCTATGAGCCCTCAGTGACATCATTGTCACCTAAGTCCATAGTTTACCAGGCCTCAATCAGGGCTGTGTATTCTGGGTTTTTGTTTGGTTTTGTGTTGATACTGGGGCTTGAACCCAACCTGGTGTTATCTTTTAGCTTTTTCTCCCAAGACTGGTGCTCTACCACTTGAGTTATAGCTCTACTTCTGGCCTTTTGGCAGTTAATTAGGGATAAGAATCTGATAGATTTATCTGCCTGGGCTGGTTTAGAACCTCAATCCTAGACCTCAGCTTCCTGCCTAGTTAAGATTATAGGCGTGAGCCACTGGAGCCTGGCTGTATATTCTGTTTCCTTTAAATGGTTTCATATGGCTACCAGAAAGCTTAAAATTAAACGACCTTGTACCTCTGTAGAGTTGACAGCCTGCTGTGTGTAGATTGCTGGATGTGAGGTCTGTACAGTTTTGTATTATAGATATGTTTCTGCCAAGCCTGCTTTGGCTCAGCTCCTGCTGGCCCTGCTGGAAAAGAAAGGCAGTGCCAGGGATCAAACCCAGGGCTCTGAGCATTTTGGTCAAGCCCTTTACCCCAGGCCAGAGGAAGCTTCTGGACCACACATGGGGGCTGCTGTTTCGACACCCTCAGCCCTGGAAACCCAGACAGCAATGTTGCTGGTGCGTGCTTCTACCCTCAGGGGCTCTGCCTTGTTTAGGTGGGTACAGTGTTTCGAGGGTTTTTGTGCCGGTCCTGGGGCTTGAACTCGGCCTAGGCACTGTTCCTGAGCTTTTTGTACTGAAGGCTAGCACTCTACCACTGAGCCACAGAGCCATTTCCAGTTTTCTGGTGGTTAATTGGGGATAAGAGTCTCATGGAGGGGCTGGGAAGTTGGCTCAGTGGTAGAGTGCTTGTCTTGCATGCATGAGGCTCTGGGTTTGATTCTTCAATACCACATAAGCAGAAAAAAGCTGGAAGTGGTGCTATGGCTCAAGTGGTAGGGCTCTAGCCTTGAGCTGAAGAGCTGAGGGACAGCACCCAGGCCCAGAGTTCAGGCCCCATAATCAACAAAAAAAAAAGTCTCATGGACTTTCCCCGCCCATGCTGGCTTTGACCTGTGATCCTCAGATCTCAGCCTCCTGAGTAGCTAGGATGACAGGCGTGAGCCACCAATGCCGGGCTGGTGTTGTAGTTTGATTTATCCACCCTCGTCCCCCGCAATGGTTGGAATCCTGGCTGGAGGAGAGGAGAGGAGAGGAGCAAGGAAGAGCACGCGGGAGGCCTGCTGGAGGGATGATGGGGGTGGGCCAAGGAAGAGCACGCGGGAGGCCTGCGGGAGGGATGATGGGGGTGGGCCAAGGAAGAGCACGCGGGAGGCCTGCGGGAGGGATGACGGGGGTGGGCCAAGGAAGAGCACGCGGGAGGCCTGCGGGAGGGATGATGGGGTGGGCGTGCTTGCGGCCTTTCCATCAGGAGGAAGGGAGCAAGGCTGAGTGCATGCAGGGCTGGTGAGCACCCAAAACTGAGGTGAAGCTCCACATCTATTCTGAAAGCGTGTGGAGCCAGACTGGAGGTCAGTGAGGGCCCGCTGGCTGGATGGCAGAGGAGGCAGCCAGCGGAGACAGCACCAGGAGCAGATCAGAGGGTGTGGTCACAGGCTCATCTGGGCAGTTTCGAGTCTCTGTGACTCAGACTCACAAAGCCTGAAATGTGAAGTCCTGGACAGGGCAGGGGAGGGGGGAAGGTTCAGGAGGTACGGGGTCCTCTGCTCCGCTGGCGATGGGCCTGGCTTCTGCCACAGACCCTTCCTCTGACCCCCAGGCTAAGGCTCCAGGTGTAGATGCAGGCGAGGGCTCAGGGTGTGAACAGAGTTGGGTGGTCTAGCGTTTGTCTCACAGTGGATTCTGCTTCCATGGGAATGGCCTCTGCTCCAGGTGATGGAAACTTGGAGAGACTGGCCTGAGCTAGTCACACTGGGGCCATTGCAACTCACACTCCAGCCCGAGCTAGTCACACCGGCCATTGTAACGCACACACTGGCTTCGGAGGGCACCAGGACAGTTTTCTCCATTTCTCGGCTCTGCCTTCTGGGCTGCTTACTCAGTGCCGTTGTAGCCCCGTGCCCTCTGAGATGTCTTGTCTAGCTGGAGAGAGCCAAGGGCTCTGCACACGGCCCACTGGGTTGCACCTCTGCAGAGGTGCAGTCCTTGTGTCCATGAGATCTTCTGTGTCCATGTGCACGATCTTAAGGATCGGATTGGCTGTAGTGCTTGTTTGTAATAGTTCATCCTCAAGTATATTCCCACCCATGGGGGACTTAGGTGTTAGGTCAGCATTTATTTTGACTTGTTTTTTTGTTGTTATTGGTCATGGGGCTTAAACTTGGCCTGGGAGCTGTCCCTGAGCTTTTGTGCTCAAGACTAGCACTCTACTACTGTTTGAGCCACAGTGCCACGTGCGGTTTTTTGGTGATTATTTGGAGATAAGAGTCTCAAAGCCTTTCCTGCCTGGGCTGGCTTTATTTATTTATTTTTGGGTCTAGTCGTGGGGCCTGAACTCTGGGCCTGGACACTGTCTCTGAGCTCTTCAGCTCAAGGCTAGCGTTCTACCACTTGAGCCACAGCGCCACTTCCGGCTTTTTTTCTTTTTTTTTTTAATGTGATGCTGAGGAATCGAACCCAGGGCCTCATGCATGCAAGGCAAGTGCTCTGTCACTGAGCCACCTTCCCAGCCCCTGGGCTGGCTTTAAACTGTGGTCATCAGATCTCAGCCTCTTGAGTAGCTAGGATTACAGGTGTGAGATACAGGTGCCCAGCTTGTTTTTATTTATTTTTAATATTTTTTCTCTTTGAATTTTTTAAAAATTTATTTTCTGTGTATGTGGTAGTGAGGAATCGAACCCAAGGCATCATGCATGCTAGGCAAGCACTCTACCACTAAGCTACCTTCCCAGCCCTTCCTGGCTTTTTTCTACTTCTTTTTTTTAACTTCTGAGGTCATTTGCTACTGGGAGTAAAAGAGAGGAATAGCTCAAGTGGTAGTGCTCGCCTAGCCTTCGGAAACCCTGGGTTCTGTCCCCAGCATTGCAAAAAAAGAAAAGACAGAGAAAATAATGTGCATCTGAAATGTGCCAGGACTTAACACACTATAATAACGTTTAGCGTTTCTCAGTGTGTGCAGCTGAGTTTTTGCTTTTTGCAGGCGATATCGTGGGTCTGTATGGTTCTGGGAACCAGGATGGTCAGCTTGCCACCGGGGTCGTGACTCGAGTCACCCAGAGGTCAGTCACGGTGGCCTTTGATGAGTCTCATGACTTCCAGTTGAACCTGGACCCTGAAGCTTCCTACAGGTTGCTAAAGCTTGCCAACGACGTCACTTACAAGCGACTTAAGAAGTACGTGGTTTCTGTGCTTGTGCTGACCCCTTCTGGTCAGGGGTGGTTGTGCGCCCTCTGGGGAGGGCCTGGCCCTGGTCCCGCCCCGCCCCTCACCTGGACTCTCCTCTCTTGCAGTGCTCTGCTCTCCCTGAAGAAGTACCACTCCGGGCCTGCGTCCTCGCTCATAGAGGTCCTGTTCGGTGGAGCTGCTCCCAGTCCTGCTAGTGAAATACGTGAGCAATGGCTGCCGAAACGATCAAGGGCACCGTGACCTTGCACTGCCTTAGCAGAGACTTGAGAATGTGCAGTTAGAGTCTGTCTTCACACCTTCGCTTTCGAGTCTGAATTCCTGGTGTGAACAAGTCTGTCTCCCCTGTGTGAACAACTAGCCTGAAGAGACAGCTCAGCTCCGTCCCTCTTCTACCTTCCTTCCTTCCTTCCTTCCTTCCTTCCTTCCTTCCTTCCTGTCCTCCTCTCTCCTCCCTTCCCCTCTCTCTTCCTCTCTTTCTCTATTTTTTTCTCCGTCTTGTTTTCTCCTGTGCTGGACATTGAACCCAGGGCCTTGCACACAAAGGGTCTGTCACTTGAGCTACGCTCCCAGCCATTGGATTTTTATTTTGCTTTTGAGAAAGGGCCTCACAATGCCTTTTCTAGGGCTGGCCTCAGAGTTGTGGTCTTCCTGCCCCTGCTGCCCAAGTAGCTGGGATTACAGGCAGGCACCACCATGTCTGACCAATAATGTCCTTTCTAATGCAGAGATTAAAAAATTAATATTCGTTGGTTGTACAAGGGGGATTCATTGTGACATTTCCATACAGGTGCACAGTCCATCCAGCCCAGCCTTGCCTCCATCCTGTTCCCCTTTGCCACAATTTCCAGAGGTTTCATAGCTTAGTTCCGCTCAGCGGAGTGCACTTCCTCACGTGTCCTCTCGGGGAGCTCTCTCCACTTCCTCCCCTCCCCCTCTCTTCTCGGTGTCCCTCCCCCTCGCCATGCCCCTCTCTCCACACCTGAGCTGGTTTTACTTTTTTTTTTTTTACATTTTTTTGAATTATTATTATCTTGAAGTAGCTGTACAAAGAAGTTCCCATTCTATGAAACAGTCTATGAATACAAGGTGTCTGGCAACATTGTCACCCATTGCTCCTAACTCATCCCTTCTCCCACTTTTTTTTTTTGGTCCAGTTGTGGGGCCTGAACTCTGGGCCTGGGCGCTGTCCCTCAGCTCTTCAGCTCAAAGCTAGCGCTCTACCACTTGAGCCACAGCGCTGCTTCCGGCTTTTTTCTTTGCTTATGTGGTGCTGAGGAATCAAACCCAGGGCCTCAGGCATGCAAGGCAAGCGCTCTACCACTGAGCCACCTTCCCAGCCCCCACTTTTTTTTTTTAAATTGAGACTAGGTGATTACATAAATTTCACATATTTCACAGTATTGTGGAATAGTGATACTTAGTGAAAGACACAAACACATTTTAACCTTCACAAGGCCAGTTGTCAGTATCATGGTCTAAATGGTTTGTGAATTCTATGAGCTTTTACAATACAGTATTTCTTCCATATCAGGTGATGTTTACATTTCTTTCCTTTTGCTTAGTGTCAGCTGTTCCCTGCCCCTCCCCCCTTCCTGCTGCGCTCTCTCCACACCTGAGCTGGTTTTACTTTGTTCTCTAGATGTATTTCAAGTGTATATTAATTACACCATGGCTTTCAGATGTGCCTGTGTTGTGTTCTGCTCAGAAGAGCCTCTGCTGCTCGCTCTCCACTTCTTCCCCTCCCCCCCCTGGGTGTTCCTCCCCCCTCTCCATGCCCCTCCTCCCTTTCTGCTGAGCTCTCCTCTCTCCCCTTCCCAGCTGCCATCTGGCCCATGGCTTTCCCTGAAGTTCCTGATGCCATCTTCATACATAGTTGTGATATATTTACACATCCCCCTCCATCTTTTCCCTCTCTCCTTCAACCTCCCCACCAAGCCCCATGTTATATCTGTTACATATATGTTATGTATACACACAAATAACAGATACACACATTTCTCTATACCAGCATATACACATATATACACGTCTACTCCCCAGCAAACTTGTGTGCACGCAGCAGGTGCACACTTGGTCCTGTTTTAGAGGGAATCTTTTTGTTGTTCTTGTTGGTCATGGGGCTTGAACTCAAGGCAAATGCTCTCCCACTTGAGCCAGAACCCCACTTCTGGTTTTCTGGTGGTTTATTAGATAAGAGTCTCACGGACTTTCCTGCCTAGGCTGGCTTTGAACTGTGATCCTCAGAGCTCAGCCTCCTGAGTAGCTAGGATGTCAGGTATGCGCCACCGGCGCCTGGCTCAGGGGGGGTCTTTTGACAGTGTGCAGATCGTTTCCGAGCTGCTTGGCCTGCCCCGGGAGCCCTGGATACTCCTGATACAGGCTGTTCTGTCCCCTGGGCAGGTGGCCTCACTCTGACCCTCTCCTGCAGCCCCGCTGACGCTCTACAACCCCGCCCTGGACGCCTCCCAGAAGGAAGCTGTGTCCTTTGCCTTGGCCCAGAAAGAACTCGCCATCATCCACGGACCTCCTGGCACTGGGAAAACCACAACCGTGGTGGAAATAATCCTCCAAGTGGTGAAGCAGGGGTCAAAGGTGGGCAGCCTACGGCTTCCTCGTGCCTGTGGGCGGCTGGTCTGGCCTGTAGACCAGTGCTCAACAGGGTCCCAGCCTTTCCTGATTTCCCCTGGCCCCTTAAACAAGGGGCAAGCTGGGGCCACGGCCTAGCCCACACACGCACGCACTCCCCTGCAGGCCCACACTGCGGGTGCAGAGGTGCCAGGGCTGGCGAAGGGCCCTGTGCAGCCCCAGTACTCTGTGCATGCAGTGAACTGATCAAGCGTGCACACACCTGGAAAGCGTGTTGCACACTGTCCATGTCACTGCTCATGGCCAGGAGAGAACCTTGTCCGTGGCAGTATTGTTACAGCAGGAGCGGGCCGCAGGGAAGTGGGTGGTTAATGCCTGCAGTAATCCTCACAACCCCCCTGGGTGGGGACTCTTGGTGGCCACAGAAACAGGGTCAGGGGCTCTGTGGCCTCGCGGGGAGCAGCAGAAACCAGGGGTGGATGGGTGGAGGTCAGGGAAAGCTGCCCCTCTGTTCCCGCCCGCCTCCTCCGCTTTTCCTACTGGCTGAGTCTGTGGGTTTACTCATGGGATGTGGATTTCCTGGCTGGCTTCTGTTTTGGTGTACCACATGAGCCCATGGTCACCTGCTGGGCAGGCCACCTGTGACCTGCAGCGGGGGAAGGAAGGGCAGCACCGGGCATGGGGAGGCAGGCCACCCACTGCCCACTGCTGCTCCCGGGTCTCTGTGGGGTGATGGGCTGGTGTGCGTGGGTCCTGCCCCAGAGCCCAGCTGAGCGTGTGTTCCGCAGGTACTATGCTGCGCACCCTCCAACATCGCCGTGGACAACCTGGTGGAGAGGCTGGCCGGCCGCAGGCTGCGCATCCTGCGCCTCGGCCACCCCGCCCGCCTGCTGGAGTCCGTGCAGCAGCACTGTCTGGACGCCGTGCTGGCGCGCAGCGACAGCGCCCAGGTTGTCGCCGACATCAGGAGGGACATGGACCAGATCTTCGTACGTACGCGGGTGTCGCCCGGGGGCCTCAGGAGCACCCGCTGCCCTGCCCCTCACGCTCCTGTCCCCTCCGTCCGCTCGGTCAGGAATCAAAAAGTTGGACTTCTCTTCCTGTTTTTGGATGGCTGTTTTATTTGGTCTTGTTTTGCATCTTTTATTTTAGGTCCTTGTCTGTGCTAAGCAGACGCTACTACTTGAACCACATCTCTAGCCCCTCACCCCCTCTGCTTTCATTTTGTGGTAGTGGGATTTGAGTGTTTGATTTTTTTTCCTCCTTTTTGTCAGTCATGGGGTTTGAACTCAGGACCTGGGTGCTGTCCCTGAGCTCTTTTTACTCAAGGCTAGTACTCTATCACTTTGAATCACAGCACTACTTCTGGTTTTCTGGTAGTAAATTAGAGGTAAGGGTCTTACCAAGACTTTCCTGCCTGGGCTGGCTTTGAACCATGATCCTCAGATCTTAGCCTCCTGAGTAGCTGGGATTTGGTGCCTGGCTGTATTTTGTCTGTGGGAAAGGGCCTTTTCTAGCCTTCCCAGGCTGTTCCTCCTGCCTCTGCCTCCTGCATAGCTGGACTGTAGGCTCGTACCCTGGTGTGGGCTTCTCATTTGAGATGCTCGTTTAGTGGGAATTCAGGTGCTCAGGTACTTGAGGGTAGATAACAAATTGTCTTACAGAAAACATTTTCCAGGTGTCTCCCTGTAGCCAGGCGTGTGGTCTAGCTGATACTGGCACGGGAGAAGAATAGCCTGAAAATACAGATGTGCAAATCCAGCCTCTTCCCAAGTCTTTCTGTCCTCCCCTGCTCCCACAGAGCGGGTGCGAGGTTCAGGGTCAGGCGGTGGTCCTCGGGTTTGTGTGTCTGCCCTGTTGTCCACTTTTATAACGACCCGGTCTGCCCTTGGCCGTTGTCCTGCTGCCCAGGTGTGCATCCTCCTTGGCCTTGCTGGGGCAGAGGAAGAGGGGCGGGAGTCTAGGCAGTCCCCGTGAGCAGAGGCTGGCCTGAGCAGACAGCCTGCTCTGGGTCCTGTGGGTGGGTTGCTCGGCATCAAGGTTGCCGTCTAGGTGTGGAGCCGGCCATGATTCCATTCATGTGCACTGCTCTGTTCTCTTGTTTGTGTGTAAGTCCCTCTTGTCAGAACTGGTTCTCTGTGAATTAGACACTGAACCGCCTTGTCTCCCCGCTGCCAAGCTCTAGTCTGCAAAACAGACAACAAGTAAGGACAGGGCTGTGGGCGTCTTGAGGTGTCAAAGTAAATTGGGGAATTGGGCGTCTGTAACCCCAACTGCTCAAGACGCTGACATCTGAGGATCGCAGTTCAAAACCAGCCCAAGCAAGAATGTCCAGGAGACTTACCTGCAATTAACGACTAAAAAGCTGCTGTGGCTTAAATGGTAGAGTGCTATCCTTGAGTGAAAAAGTCTAGGGACAGCACTCAGGCCCTGAGTTCAAGCCCCAGTAACCCCCAAAAAGTAAGAGCACAAGGTCCTGTTGAAATGACTGTATTTTCTTCATCATTACAGCTGAAAAACAAAAAGGCACATGATAAGAGAGAGAAAAGTAATTTCCGCAATGAAATGAAGCTACTAAGAAAAGAGCTGAAGGAAAGGGAAGAAGCGGCCATGGTGGAAGGCCTCACCGCGGCTGACGTGGTGCTGGCAACCAACACGGGTGAGCGACCGGCCAGCTGGGGGCCCCCAGCCGGGAGGCGGCTCCCAGGGAAGCTGTCCCCACCTGCAATTTTCCCTGTCCTGAAGTGAGGCTATAACTCCAGATTTCTCAGGGCCTGGGCACTATCTCTGAGCTCTCTTGCTCAAGGCTAGCATTCTACTACTTCGAGCCATAGTGCCACTTCCGGTTTTCTGGTGGTTACTTGGAAATAAGAGTCTCACGACACAAAATCTGTGTATAAATGTGAGTGTATTATAAAGTGTAAGATGTTGATTTAAAAAAAAAAAAGAGTCTCACAGACTTTGCTGCCCAGGCTGGCTTTGAACTATGATCTTCAGATCTCAGCCTCCTGAGTAGCTAGGATGACAAGGCGTGAGCCACTGGCTGGCGCCTGGCTTCAGATTTCCTTTCTTTAACAAACATCAGGCTATTTGGGTTTGTTTCTCTCAAGAAGTTGTTGGTTTAATATAAATCCTCAAATTTAGAGGAGTGTTGTCCAGAACATTCCCTTGCTCCCTGCAGACGCCCCGTGGCCTGGCCTCTTTGTCCTGCTCATCTGGTTTTTATGTTCTTCCTCCGCTCTGCTGAGGACCAGCTCTGACCTTCCTGTTTTCTGTCTCCCTGGATCTGACCCTGTCTCTTCTATTCGCTCTTTCTCTGGGCTGGGTCTCGCTTGCCCAGGCTGGTTTAGTGAGGCGGAAACTGAGTTCTTGCTCATGAGGGATTGTATTCCGATCCTTGTCCCTTAGTCTAAAATACTGTTTTCATTGTCATTCATTTCCTGACAACTTTGCTTTTCTTCTTCCTGAAATCTTGGCTTCTTTTTTTCACCTATGTTGGTTGAGAAGTGTGTCATGGTTTCCAAATAGTTGAAGATTTCCCAGATGTCTTCCTTTTTTTGTTGTTGTTCCTGGGTCTTGAATTCAGGTCCTGGTGCTGTCCTTGAGCTCTCATTCAAAGGTTAGTGCTCTACCACTTTGAGCCACAGCTTCCACTTCCGGTTTCTGAGTGGTTAGTTGGAGATAAGCGTCTCACAGACTTCACTTTCTGGGCTAGCTTTGAACCATGATCCTCAGATCTTAGCCTCCTGAGTAGGTAGGGTTACAGATATGAGCCACCAGCATCAGGCTTCCCAGATGTCTTTTTTTTTTTTTTTTTTTTGCTGGTCGTGGGGCCTGAACTTGGTCTGGGCGCTGTCCCTCAGCTCTTCAGCTCAAGGGTAGTGCTCTACCACTTGAGCCACAGCACCACTTCCAGCTTTTTCTGCTTATTTGGTACTGAGAGCCTCATGCATGCAAGGCAAGCACTCTACCACTGAGCCATCTTCCCAGCCCCCTGATGTCTTTCTGATGCTTTTAATTTAGTTCTGTGTGGTTCTGAGCAAGTCTCGATGTCCAATGGGTGCTCTTTCGCTAGTCTGGAACATGGGGGCTCTTGTGAAAGTCCTGAGACAGCTGACGAGAACCTGAGTCTGGCACTAGCATGCTCTGTAGGAATCTGTGGGATCAGGGTCGGGGGGACTCCCTCCGTCCTCCCTCTGTCAGGGTGCAGCGTCTGTCCGTTGACTGTACAGAGGGTTCCCTCCAGGTCTGTATCAGCTCCGGGACCCGAATGCGCTGGTGTCTGCCCCAGTGCTGACTGCACACAGCATTAGTGCAGGCGTTGGGGGAGCCGCCGAGCGTCACGTTCTGTTGGCGTGATTGCAGCTGGCGCCTGCACTCCGTTTCCTCTCCAACCAGGTGCCTCTCCCGACGGCCCCCTGAAGCTGCTGCCCGAGGGCCACTTTGACGTGGTGGTCATTGACGAGTGTGCCCAGGCCCTGGAGGCCAGCTGCTGGATCCCTCTGCTGAAGGCCAGGAGGTGCATCCTGGCCGGAGACCACAGGCAGCTGCCGCCCACCACGGCCTCTCACAAGTAAGGCCCCGCCTGCAGAGCTCCTCCTCCCGCCCCGCCCCGCCTGTGCTCCAGGGCCCAGGCTGGTGCCCTGGGCGTCCCTCGAGGATTGAGTGTTACAGCATGCTGCCAGGCACACCCCCAGTGCTGACCTGGTGCCTCACGTACCACGTCCCCCGACAAGGCCGCAGGTATGACGGTGGCTCTGTGAGAGCCACCTCGCCACGTAGCTCAGCTGGCGCAGGCTGTGCAGTGCCATCAGTGGGGACCCTGGATAGAAGACGGATGCAGGAGACGCTGCGCCCCACGGGCCTGGTGGGGCCTCCTCCCTCGTTGTGTGTGGTGGAGGAGTCGTTCGGCCGCCGAGGGGAGGCTGGCGTGAGGCTGGGAGTACTGCCTGTGCCAGTGGTGCGCATGCGTGGCCGTCAGCCACCACGGGCTGCTCACCCCTACCACATGTGAGAGGTCCCCCCCCCATTCAGTCATTCATTTACTCATGTACCTGCATGCTGATATTAGGCTTCTTGAACACAGTTTCTTAGCTTTTCTTGCCCTCAACCATTTAAACTGCAGCTCTGGATTTTTTTGCTGGTTAATTGGAGGTAAGTCTCACAGACTTTGCTGCCTGCGATGGCTTTGATCCACAGTCCTCCCTTCTCAGCCTCCTGACTAGCTAGGATTATAGGCGTGAGCCACCAGCACCCGGCTGAAATTGTCCTTACAAACTTCCCAGTCAGCGTGGTGTTTGTGGTGTGTTTCTGCTTCAGATCACAGGGATGGGAAGCACCGTGTGCAGCCAGGCTGCGGAGGGGGATCTGCTTCCTGGCACTTCCCAGGTCTCGGAGGTCACCGCATGTGTTGGCTCTCAGCTTCTTCTCCCTCCTCCAAGCCAGCAGCCAGCCTCCCTCAAGTCTTCTCTCAGGGGCTCCTCCTACTCCCCACCTCTCATTTGGTCCCTGTAGTCGGGGGGCGGGGTCTTGGGTCCTCGTGGTCACATGAGGGGCAGGGCCTCGGTGATCAGGGTGCAGGTGACCCGGGTACACTGGATCAGGCTTGCAGACAGCTTTCCCCACTCACCCCGTGTCACATGCACACTGCGACCCGGACCCTCCTCCTGTTCCCCGTGCAGGGCAGCGCTGGCGGGGCTGTCACTCAGCTTGATGGAGCGCCTGGCCCAGGAGCGCGGCCCGGCTGTGGTGCGGATGCTCACGGTGCAGTACCGCATGCACCAGGCCATCATGCGCTGGGCCTCCGAGGCCATGTACCACGGGCAGCTCACAGCCCACTCCTCCGTGGCGGGACATCTCTTGAGGTGAGTGGCCTGTGGCCCCGGCCTGCCCCGGCCTCCCCTCCTCTGAGCAGTGGTGTCCTGGGTGAGGGAACCGGGCAGCAGGCAGCCTGTCCGTTCTCTTTTCCTTTCTGATTTGGTCTTTTGAGACAAAGTCTCCTTATGACACACCCAGGCTGGCCTAGAATTCTTGATTGTCCCGTCTCAGCCTCCCCAGTACTGGAACTATAGGCTGTGCTACCACATGCGTCCCGGCCCCTCCGATGTTGTGACGGGAAGGGCAAGTGCCCTTGTGTAGGAGTTCAGTGCTGCCCTCTGTCCGCCCGCGTGCCAGGGACCTCCCCGGCGTGGCTGACACGGAGGAGACCAGCATCCCGCTGCTGCTCGTGGACACGGCCGGCTGTGGCCTATTTGAACTGGAGGAAGATGACAACCAGTCCAGGGGGAACCCAGGTGAGCTCCCCAGCCCGGGTGTCCTACCCTCGAAATAGGGTGCCAAGGTCCGCCAGCCCAGGGAGGCGCAGGAGAGGGCGGAGGAGAGCAAGCGCTGACGAGCTGCCGTGGAAGGTTGAGGATGGGCACTCGTGGGCAGGAAATGGCGTGTTCTTCCGAGGCCCAAGGGACCCAAAGAAGCCCATCGAGGACTGTCAGCATTGTGTACTCTCAAAGGGCCTGAGTCTGGCCCAGTGCCAGTGAGGGCAGTGTGTGTGCGTGCGTGTGCTTGCGCGCATACCTGGGCTAGTCCCGGTGCTTGAATTCAGCCTGGATGCTGTCTGTGAGCTTTTTTTTTGCCAGTCCTAAAGCTTGCGCCCTCGGCCTGGGCATTGCACCTGACTGAGCTCCTTTTCCCCAAAGCTAGCACTCAGCCCCTTGAGTTATAGTGCCCCCTGCAGCTTTTTCTGTGATTACTTGGAGATTAGAGTCACACTTTCTTGCCGGGGCAGGCTTTCTACTGCCATCCTCAGCTCTCAGCCCCCGAGTAGCCGGGATGACGGGCTGGCGGTGAGACCGTGCAGCCATTGGCACTGCCTCCATGGCACATCAGGGCTGCTGGGCATCACTGCGCAGGTGGAATGCAGTGGCTCGTTTGTGAGAGTGGAGTCCCTGGCGCGGGCTCAGCTCCCAGCATGCCCCCTGCCTCAGGCCGGCACAGGACCTGCTCTTCGTGTGGCAGCCAGGGTGTCCCGGCAGCCGCAGAACGCGTCCTCTGCTGAAGCCCGCTCTCTCCCTCCAGGCGAAGTCCGCCTCGTCACTTTGCACATCCAGGCTCTGGTGGCCGCTGGTGTCCATGCAGGAGACATTGCTGTCATCGCGCCCTACAACCTTCAGGTACAAAGGGTCCCCTTCTGTCTACGTCTCTATTCCCCCAGGCAGGGAGGGGGCTGTGGGGGCAGCGGCCTCATCCTGGCACAGACAGCAGCTCGCACGGTGCCTGAGGCAGGGTGGCTCAGGTGCCGAGGTCCCAGGTGAGGCCGGGCGTGCAGTGATGCACCGTGGCCTTCCCGTCTCAGGTGGAGCTGCTTCGACAGAGCCTGGCGCACCAGCACCCCGAGCTGGAAATCAAGTCCGTGGACGGCTTCCAGGGCCGAGAGAAGGAGGCTGTGATCCTCTCCTTCGTCAGGTCCAACCGGAGAGGTAGGAAGCCCCGCAGGGCCCGTTGGGGACAGGTGGCAGGGAGGCAGCCGGTTCCGGGTGAGGTGGGTCCTGCCTGTCCTGGGCTGCAGTGGCCGAGCCCAGCATTGTCTTCGCCTGAGGGGAGGGCAGTAGCGAGGGCTCTGCCCACCCACCAGGGGCCAGCGGGGCCTGGGCAGGCACGAGGTGTCCTGGACTGAGTGCTTGAGTAGAGCAACCCAGAATAAGCTCTTGCCACCCGTGGACGGGGGCACGGAGGGGACAGGGGGAGCGGAGGGGTGTGGTATTCCAGGGAGTGGAGACCGCGGAGGCTCCGTAGTACGGGAAGCAGGTGATTGAGCTGGGGGTGCAGGGAGGGTGGGAAAGGTCTGGATGTCTCCTGAAGGAGACGGAGCCCCTTGAGAACCTGATGCTTGTCTGTGGGCCTCAGGGTGTGTGTGGTTTCCGTGCTGCTGGTTTGTTGTCTGATCCCCGTAATACCAGCTACTCAGGACTTTCATCTCTGTGAGCCAGCTAAAAGCCAACACTGGAGGTGTGGCCTGAATGGTAGAGCCCCAGCCTTGAGGGAAAAAGCCAAGCGAGAGCATGAGGCCCTGAGTTCAAGTCCAGGCATTGGCAGGCACACACACACAAGCATGCGTGCACACACAAAGAACATTGTGTGTAGAAAGTTTTTGTTGGTGGGCCTGTGCATGCTCAGGAGAGGCTGGACAGGACGGCACGGTGGAAGGAGGCTGAGTCTTCCCGTGTGTGCGCCGCCGTGGGGAAGCTCCGCCCGTGGGGGTGGGTACAGGTTCCCAGGCTGCACAGTGCCCAGGCTGTCTTGGTCTCTGACCCCTGGCCCTTTGCTAGGTGAAGTTGGTTTTCTGGCTGAGGACCGGCGGATCAATGTCGCGGTCACCCGTGCACGGCGCCATGTGGCGATTGTCTGTGACTCCCGCACTGTAAACAACCACGCTTTTCTAAAGACGCTGGTGGAGTATTTCACAGAACACGGGGAAGTGCGCACCGCCTTCGAGTACCTGGAGGACATTGTCCCTGAGAACTATGCCCACGAGGGCTCCCAGGGTCCCCGCCGAGCCGCTGCCCGGCCCCGGGGCCCTGCGTTCCTCAGCACGCCTGCGAGCGCGCAGCCCCCGCGCGGCCCGGAGGCCAAGGCTGCGCCCCGGGGGGAGCCCAGGAAGCCTCGCATGAGGCCCCTGCAGCCCTGCAGTGACGGGGGGCGCCCGGGTGGCACGGAGCACCTGCGGGCCAAGATCACAGAGTTCCTGGACAGCGAGGAGACGCGGTTGCAGTTCCCCACATCCCTCAACTCCCATGACAGGCTGCGCGTCCACCAGATCGCCGAGGAGCTGGGGCTGCGCCACGACAGCGCTGGGGAGGGGGCGGCGCGGTACGTCACCGTGAGCAAGAGGGGCGCCCCAGCCCCCACCCCCACAGACAAGAAGGAGAAGCCAGACAAGAAGGAGAAGCCAGACAAGAAGGAGAAGCCAGACAAGAAGGAGAAGCCAGACAAAGAGCAGCCAGATAAGAAGAAGCCAGACAAAGAGCAGCCAGACAAGAAGGAGAAGCCAGACAAAGAGCAGCCAGACAAGGAGAAGCCAGACAAGAAGGAGAAGCCAGACAAAGAGCAGCCAGACAAGGAGAAGCCAGACAAAGAGCAGCCAGACAAGAAGGAGAAGCCAGACAAGAAGGAGAAGCCAGACAAGAAGGAGAAGCCCCAGAAGCTGCCTCAGAACAAGAAGAAGAAAAGGGAAGCAAAGGGTGAGTAGCATCGGTGCCACCCGCAGCCCCTGCATGCGCACGTGCTCACACCCGTCATCTCCTGCTCAGAGCCCCGCTCAGGGGGCACTTCTCCCCAGAGGCTGCTCCCTGGTCCTTTGGCCATCCCCTGGGGACGGGGCAGTCACGGCTCCCACACCGCAGTCCCGGACCTGGCAGGGCCTGGGCCACACCAGTGGCAGCTGCCTTGGGCCGGGGCTCTGGGCCGCTGCCTGCCACTCTCATGGAAGGCTGTGCCAGCCCCAGGGTAGTTCGGTCCTGAGTTCTGCCCACTGTGTCCCCTTGCTGGGGTCTTCACCGCCCAGCCTCTGCTGCTGTGGGGCTCCCGTGGTCAGGGCTGCAGAAGCGGGGCACAGGGGCATTTGGTGACCCTGAGCAGAGCACTTGGGTGTTCTCCATCGGTTCAGATGCTTACTGAGCAGCTGTACCAGCTCCGGCTGGTGACCGCAGGACCTTGTCTCCTGGAAGAAGCTGTGCTTTCTGGGCTTTGAGGTTGCTAGGACCTGGCCGTCGGGATCTGCCCCACATTGGGGCTGCTGGCGTTACCGCCTTGAGGCGGGAGGTTTCTGGGTGGAGAGGATACACTGCCAGAGGCCCTCTTGTGCCCTCTCTTCGCTCTCTGCCCTTGGTGCCGGCCACGCCGTGGGCAGCCCTCGCTTGCTTGGCTTGCTGTAGAATAGGGTGAAAAGGGCTCTGGCAGCCTGGGGGAGCCGTGAGTCCCACTGGGAGCGCATTGGGGTGCTCTGGGAAGCCTGGGACAGGAGCTGGGCATGCTCACAGCGGGGACACAGCCTGGTGCCCGGCAGAAGTGCCCTGGTCCTGCATACCATGACTGACATTCTCCCCAGGACCCGCGGCCGCCGTTCTGCCCTCCGAGGAGGATCTTGACGCCCTGCTGTCGGCCGTGACCAAGGCCGACAATACCTGCAGCTTCGCCAAGTGCGCGGCCAGCATCGCGACCCTGGGCCAGCTCTGCCAGCTCTGTGGCCACCGCTACTGCCTCAGCCACCACCTGCCCGAGGTGGGTGACCGGAGGGAACCGGTAGAGCCCCTTTGGGTGGGGCAGCTGGCAGTGGCCGAGGGACAGCCGTGCCAGAGGAGTTTGGGGCAGGGCATGGCTGCAGGCAGGCCCGCGAGTGTCTGAGAGGGAGTTTGGGGCAGGGCATGGCTGCAGGCAGGCCCGCGAGTGTCTGAGACCCTTGTGCGGAGATGGCAGCGGGTAGCTTTATCGTTCGTTCCACTGGTGGACAATCGAGGGGAGCTCCGTCCCCCATGGCTGGGCTCACAGGTCTTTGTGGAGCTGGGGCTGGAACGGGTGTCTCTGTGTGAGGGAATCTTGGCCTGGTGGGGTTCTGCGAAGAGGCCGGCGTGGGGGACAGTGGGGATGCCAAGGTGGGGGCACCTGGGAGCCAGGAGAGCAGTGGAAGGCCTGTATGGCATGGAAGTCGGCACTGAGACCCCACGGGTGGAGAGGAGGACCAGGGGGCTCGGGTCATGGCTGAGGCCAGGCTGCTCTTTAGGCGCTTGGACCCTGGATGCGGTGGGAGAGCTGGGGGCTGGGGGAACGCCGGCTTGGTGGAGTCGAGGATGGTTGTGACTTCACCCTGCTCCAGCCTGGAGAGGCCAGGGCCCCAGGCACCGGAAAGAGCCCCAGGCCGGCGTGGTCAGTGGGGTTACTCCCTCTCCTGCTCAACAGAGGCTTGAGCCCTGTTCCCCCTGGGGTCCCGCCGGGGGAGGCTGGACGCGGGGGAGGTCCTGCCTCCGCACCTGCAGTGGCTCCCAGCTCCACATCCTTTTGACGGCTGATCCTCGTCCTCTCCCCCGTGTCCTCCGCAGGTCCACGGCTGCGGTGAGCAGGCCCGCGCACACGCCCGCCAGAAACTCCGCCGGGAGGGGGTCCCCAGTGCAGGCAGCGGGGCCAGGGACAGGCCCCTGGACCCCGCCAGGAGGGCCCAGCTGCAGCGAAGGCTGGACCTGAGGCTGGGCGAGCTCAGCGGCCAGAGGACCAGTAAGAAAAAGGAGAAGGACAGGGGGACGTGAGCCGGCATGTGCCCTGGAGGGCCGCGGCCCAGGGCAGCGCCTGCAGCCAGCCCCTGGCCCAAATGTGGGCAGCACAGGCGCTGGGGTCTGGGGCCTGTGGCCATGGGGGACTGTGTCCTGGTCCTCCCCAGTACTGTCCAAGTTCCCTTGGAGCCACGCCTGACCTCTCACTACCAGAGTGACCGCCCGACGCTGAGGACACAAGAGCATGAGCACCGGCCCGGGCTGCTGTGGCCCCCCCCGGGCTGCTGTCGCCCCGCGCTGCTGTGGCCCGTGCTGCTGTGGCCCCCCGCGCTGCTGTGGCCCCTGTGCTGCTGTGGCCCCCGTGCTGCTGTGGCCCCCCGTGCTGCTGTGGCCCCCATGCTGCTGTGGCCCCCCGTGCTGCTGTGGCCCCCCCTGTGCTGCTGTGGCCCCGCGCTGCTGTGGCCCCGCGCTGCTGTGGCCGGCTGTCCGGCCTGGGCTGGCCTCTGCGCCAAGGCCAGGATGCCAGAGAGCCACCAGAGCCACACGTCGCCCACAGAGCCGGCCTCCAAAGTTTATTTAAGAGAACTTCAAGGAAATAAGTTATTTGGAAATGAAGTGTGAACACACGCCCACTGTGCCCGGGTCCGCTGTGTGCTCTTTCCCTCCGCTTACACGTTGTTTGGTGGCATGGGTGCCACGCAGAACAGCAGACTGCGGCCTTGTGCATGGTGGGTGTTGGTGCAGGTGACGCTCCACAGGCTGCTGGTTGGGTGTGCAGGGCCGCTGCTGGGTCACTCTAGTCCTGTCGGGGGGAGTGGAGGCTGAACACTGTGGGCCAGGACTTGGGAGGCACCGCCTGCGGGAGACATTCTCCAGGGGCCTCCGAGAAGAGGAGGGTGGGCTTCCCCTGTACCCCCAAAGCCCCTCTCCCCACACCCACTGCAGGCCCTCCTCCAACCCTCCTTGCTTTCCTTAAATGCTACACATTTTATTTTTTTTTGGTGCTAGTCCTGGGACTTGAACTCAGGGCTTGGGTGCCATTCCTGAGCCTTATTTTACCCAACGCTACTGTTCTACCATTTGAGCCACAGTGCCATTTCTGGCTTTTTGGTGATTAATTGGAGATAAGAGGAGTCTCACACACTTTCATACCTGGGCTGGCTTTGAGTCATGATCCTCTAACCTCAGCCTCCCCAGTAGCTAGGATCACAGCTGTGAGTTGTCAGCACCCGGCTGAGAGTCTCTGATTTTGGCCTCAGCTCCCCTAGGAGCCTGTGGGTTGTCCTCCTGCCCCTGCCCCCGACTGCCCTTCCCAGCCCTACCCCCAGCCCCCGGCCCTTCCTCCCTGCCCCTGGGTAGCTTTGGAGCTGAGTTGTTTGGGACAGGGAAGGGACGGGGACCTGGCCATGGGTACTGAGGTGCACCAGAGCATGGGGTGCAGCGGTGGTTCCGTGGGGGGCGGGGGGGTGGCAGGACCTGGGGCCCAGGCTGTCTCCTGATGCTGGGTGGTCAGCTGCAGCCTCGGACCTCCCCCGGCTCCTACAGGGTCAGACTTAGTGCAGGCCGGAGTCTGCTTTGCCAGTTAGAGCTCTGCCCTGGGGTCAGCGCAGGCGCTGGCCCTTCCCAGCTGCCCTTCCCCTCCTGGAGAAGGCTGACTGCAGGAGGAGAGGAGGCGGAGCGCAGCACCTGACAGCGTCAGTGGGGAAGTGTGTGCTGACCTGGATTCAGCCATTTCAGCTCCTTCCCCCAGCCTTCCCAGAGTTCCGAGGTAGAAACCCCCCACCCTTATTTTAATTTTCGTCTTAATTTCCTTGGCTTGATCAAAGGTGTCGCCGGTCTGCTACTTGCAGCCAAAGGGTTTTGCAGGAGCGGCCTTGCGCCACCTCTGCGGCTTTGGTGTGTTTGGAAGCAGGGCCGAAGGCTGTCTCCCGGCTCTGGCTCTGGCTCCTCCCAGTGGCCAGGAGGATTTCCAGGGAGGAAGGGAGCCAGCATGGCCTCGTGAGACGCCTCCAGAATTGGCAGCTGGGGTCCGACACGACCCCCCACGAGCGGGTGGCTTCATGATCCCTTGTTTGCCTGTCTGGAAAGCCTGTACCTTGCCAGCTGTGCCAGGCAGCCATGGTGGGATGCGCCGGGAGCCACCCTGCCCGCCTTCCCCGTGTCCCCACACGGCGCCTGCCCGCAGCTCCTGGCGCTCGTGGTGACATGGCAGAGTCGGAGTTGGCGACCGCAGGTGTCCATTTCTCATGCTAGAGACACCTGGGTAGGGAAATGCCCGTGCCTGCGTCTGGAGAAGACAGCCTAGCAGCGCCCTCCGCCGTGGCTGGACACGTTAGTCCAGAGTAGGAAAAGATCAGCCGAGGCCAAACGTCTCCCCGGCCGGAGGGCAGACTGCTGCCCTTCTGAAAGGGACCCCAGGATTGGGCTGTCAGCAGTCAGGGCCCCAGGAGCCACTCAGCCACCCCTGTGTGAGCACCTGGCTTGCTTTCAAGTGACATAGCCCACCCTGCAGGGCGGCCGGCCCTGGGTTCTGTTTACCCTGCTTTGTTTGGGGCGCTACCCAGAGGGACAGATGGCCCAAGGGGGGTGCTGGGCACCGGCTGCTCTGGGAAGCTTTGGGCCCAAGTTACAGTCTTGGCATTCAGCAGGAATTCCGGTCTGTGCCAGGAGTTGGGCAAAAGCTGCAGCCTTATTTGGTGTGGAAACATTGCTGGAGGAAGAGAAGAGCGGCAGCAAGCGGGCTTCGCGGGCGGGCAGACAACAGCTCGGCCGTCCCCACTGCCCAGGACCCGCTTCAGGGGCTGCTGAAGGCCGCCTGCAGCTTCTCCCCTGGTTTTGGCCAGCCGCTTGCCTTTCCCCATCAAAGGAGCAGCGGTCCTGCAGTCCCCGGGTGCCCGGGATGGCCCTGTAGTCTACTGAGGTATAGTTACTGTCACTTCAAACATATCACCCCCAAAAGCAATCCCTGGGGTAATCCCCACATCCGCTGGCCCAGGACCCCTGGGCATGTTGTGATCTGTCCTGGAAACACGAGCACGTAGTTGGCTGTGTCTGGGCTGGCCAGGCGCTGGGTTGCACTTGCTCCCCCGGGGGCTGGCAGGAGCTCGGGCTGTGAGAATGTCGGTGTTCGGGTCTTTGTGAAAATACATGCTCTCTTTTTTTTTTTTTTCCCGTTGGTCATGGGGCTTGAACTCTGGGCCTGGGCGCTGTCCCTGCGCTCTTCAGCTCAAGGCGAGTGTTCTACCGCTTGATCCACAGTGCCATTTCCAGTTTTCTAGTGGTTTATTGGAGTCTCACAGACTTTCCTGCCCAGGCTGGCTTTGAACCACAATCCTTAGATCTCAGCCTCCTGAGTAGCTAGGGTTCTAGGCGTGAGCCACCGGCCCCCAGCTCAGGTTCTTGGTTTGCTGATGTAGTTCTTAGGGAGTTGTTGGGTCACGTAGAGAATTCTGGTGGTCTCCCGTACGGTTTACCTTTGTGCCCACCGTGGGTGGCACTCGGCACGGTTTCTCTCTGTGGTGGTGGAGTGCTGGTGGGTGGGGATGTCTCGGCGGAGGGTGCCTTGCATTTCCTCGTCTGACTGGGACGCCTGTGCACGTGCAGGTAAGACAGTCTGAGTCTCCGTCAGTAAGGAGTTCATCCACACCGTTTATCTTCAGCTCAGAGCCTCACACTCACGCTCACTCAGCTCTCTTGCTCACAGCTGGTGTGCTACCACTTGAGCCATGTCTCTGGCAGTGCTTTTGTGCTAGCTAATTGGAGATGGTGTCTTGACAATTTTTCTGCCTAGGCTGGCTTTGAAACCTTGGTCTTCAGATCTCAGCCTCCCGAGTAGTTAGGATTACAGGCGTGACCCCGCTGGTGGTTTTGTTTTGTGCTGGAAATCAGACCCAGGGCCCTGCACTAGCTGGGGAAATGCTGTATACCATTGAGGCCACCCACCTTTGCCTGGTGTTTTGTTTTGTTTTTTGGGTCCAGTCATGGGGCCTGAACTCTGGGCCTGGGCGCTGTCCCTCAGCTCTTCAGCTCAAGGCTAGCGCTCTACCACTTGAGCCACAGCGCCACTTCCGGCTTTTTTCTTTTTGCTTATGTGGTGCTGAGGAATCGAACCCAGGGCCTCAGGTATGCAAGGCAAGCGCTCTACCACTGAGCCACCTTCCCAGCCCCTGCCTGGTGTTACAGTGTTGGTTGTCATTGGGATTTGAGATTCCAGCTGTCTCTTGTCTGTGTGGGATAAATGACTGATACCTCCCAGGCTTGGCCTGCTTGCCTGCCTGCCTGCCTGCCTGCCTGCCTGCCTTCTTTCCCTCTCCTCTTCATCTTCTTCTTTTTCCTCCTCCTCTTCCTGATCCTTCTCTTTTTCTTTCTCTTCCTCTCCTCCTCCTTTTTGTGTTTTCATTATTTTCATGCTGTCTTTAAAAGTATAAAAAGTTTTTTTGTGTTTTTTTGGCTTGTCCTGGGGCTTGAACTCTGGGCCTGGGCGCTGTCCCTCAGCTCTTCAGCTCAAGGTGAGTACTTACCACTTGAGCCACAGCAGCCAGTCTTCTAGTGTGCATGTGCATGTGTGCGCGTGTGTATGCTGGTCGTGGTGCTTGAACTCAGGGCTTTGCACTTTACCTTAGCTTTTTCACTCAAGGCTAACAGCCACTTGAGCCTCAGCTCCACTTATGGTGGTTTTACTTGTTAATTGGAGGAATCTCTTGGACTTGTCAGCAGGGCTGGCTTCAAACCTCCACCCTCCTCCTCGAGGGGAGGGAGGAGGACCTTGCTGTTACCATGGAAACATAACATCCTTCCCCAAACTCCGGGGACCAGCCTCCATTCATCATGCTCATGGGACCTGTGGCTCAGAATGTGGGCAGAGCTCAGCAGGATGGGAGATTGGAAAGGCCAGCAGCTTGCTTCAAGAAGGGACTAACTCTGGGGGGAAATTTGCCCCCTGGCCTGCCCAGGGGTGTTGAGCTTAGCCTTTGCTAAGCATGGCTAGTGCCCCCTACTGTCCGGCTCCACCTCGGGACACCAGCCCTGAATTGAATGCCCAGCTCTTGGCTGTGGGTGGCAGCGATTTGCTGATGACTAGAAAATTATCCTGTCATAGGTTCCAGATCCAGTGACAAGGGTCCTTGTAAGAGGGGACACCTACAAGAAGGGCAGAGGTCGGTGATGCTGGCACAGCCAGCGTGCACAGAGCTGCCAGGTGTGCAGCATCTGAGAGGAGAGAGCAGCACGTGTCCTGGGCTGGGCCGGGCCTCCAGTCCGTGTG